AAAAAAAAAAAAAAAAAAAAAAAAAAAAAAAAAAAAAAAAAAAAAGAAAAAAAGAACTAGAACAGAATAAAATCTCCAGGCATTATTAAACACCGAGTTGCAGATACTCTACTTCAGAGGACTTTGGAGAAACTGCCAGGAGGTCAAACATTTCCAGTTTCAGTGGAAACAGAATTTAGCTAATTTCCTAGAAAAGAAAGCCATAGCTAATCCAAATCTGCTAATTAATCAGATAGAACACACTGGCTCTTGATGGCATTTCCCCCTTAGGGAAAGGAAAAAATAACCCTGCTTATAAATTAATGTTTTCTTAGACAGACTGAAATTTACTGCAGCTCTTCAGGGATTTTCAGCTTCAATAAACCAGTGGGAAAGTTATTCCTTGCTTGCATATATATGCTCTGTAGCCCCATTGGCAGAGGCCTCCCTCCCTGCTCTCCCTTCGTCCTCTCTTCCTTCTCCTTTCTTTCTCCCCTTCCTCTCTTCCTTCATTCCTACAACAAATACTTATTGAACACCTACTACACGCCACATACTGTTTTGTCCTAGTAATACAGCAGTGAACAAAAAGTAGTAAATAAATAAATATGTTAGATATGTTAAGTACTTTGGGGAAATACAAAGCAAGAAGGGGTCAGGGAGTGCTGATGGGGTGATATGGCTTGGCCATGTCCCCACCCAAATCTCATCTTGAATTGTAGTTTCCATAATCCTCACGTGTCTTGGAAGGGACCCACTGGGAGGTGATTGGGTCATTGGAGTGGTTACCCCCATGCTGTTCTCATGACAGTGAGTGAGTTCTCACGAGATATGATGGTTTTATAAGGGGTTTTTCCCCTTTTGCTCGGCACTTCTCCTGCCACTGCTGTGTGAAGAAAGATGCGTTTACTTCCCCTTCCACCATGGTTGTAAGTTTCCTGAAGCCTCCCTAGCCATGCAGAAAACAGTGAATCAATTAAACCTTTTTCCTTCATAAATTACCCAGTCTCAGGCAGTTCTTTATAGCAGCGTGAGAACAGACTAGTATGTGAGGGCACTCTGAGATTTTAAATAAATGGCCAGGAAGACTCATTAAGAAGAAAACATTTGAGAAAAAAACCCAAGCAGGTGAGGGAGGAAGCTTTGCAGATATCTGGGGCAAAACCAATCAGAAAAGTGCTGTCATTGGAGTGTGGCTGGAAGTTTGAGAGCAGCTAGGACCAGGCCTGGAATTAGAGGGAGGCAGAGGCGGTGAGTCGAGCAAGTGCAGGGTTGGATCTTGTCTTTCTTTCAAATTTTTGTGATTTGTATATCGTGGATTTTTTCACATGAATTTTGGTATTGCATTAAAATATGACTGATCGTGACTACTGAGGTTTTGGCATCTCGAAGCGAATACTCACTAGCTTCACTCTAGTCCAGGCCCAGGAGCCGATGTAGGGGGTGGAGCAGAGATGGCGTGAGTTAGGGAGAGTGGTAGGAAATGAAGTCAGAAACAAGCAGGGGAAGATGCTGAGGAGCTTGGTTTTTACTCTGAATAGGACAGGAAAGTCATTGAAGGGCTGTATTCCTTTTCTATTGCTGCCATAACAAATTACATGAATTAGTGGTTTAAACCACGCAAATGTGTTACCTTACAGTTCTACAGACCGGAAGTCCCACACAGGTCTCTCCAGGCTGAAGTCAAGCTCCCAGTGCTTCCTCACTGGGAGATCCAGGTGGGAATCTGTTTCCTTGCTCCTGCAGTTTGGCCATAGACTTCAGGGCCATGCAGTTTAGAACTGAAGTCCCCTTTCCCTTGCAGTTCACTTGTGGCTCCCTTCCTCCCTTTTCAAAGCCAGCCATGGAGGGTCAGGCTCTTGTCATGTCGTATCCCTCTGACCCACTCTTCCGTCTTCCTCTTCTAGTGTTGAAGACTCATGTGATTAGACTTGGCTGCCCTGGATAATCCAGGCTACTCTCCTCGTCTCAAAGTCCATACCCTAAGCACATGTACGAAGTCCCCTTTCTATGTGAGGTAACATCTTCACGGGTTCCAAGGATTAGAACATGAACATCTTTGGGGAACCGTCATTCTGTCCACTACAGGGGCTTTGAGCAATGGAGCAACTGCTCACTCTGCAGCTGAGAATGCGTCACTCTAGTTGCTCCGTTGAAAATAGTTGGGGGTGGGAGGAGGAAGGCCAGGGAGGACAGGGCAAGAAGCAGGAACCTGGCATACAGGCTAACACGATAATTCAAGGGAGAAATAATGGTGGTTTGGACCAAGGTGGGGGGGTGATTCTGGAGGAGTCAAGGCTAGATAAGGTGACAATAGGTTTTAGGTGTAAAGTTGGCTAAGCTACAGACCTCAGTTACTCAATCAAACATTAATCTGGGTGTTGCTGTGAAGATATGGACATGATTAAAGTCCCTGATCAGCTGACTTTCAGCTAGGGAGGTAATCCTAGATTCAGGATGGGCCTGATCCCATCCGCTGTAAGGCCCTAGAGAAGCTGAGGGTTCCCTGATGAATAAATTCTGCCCGTGGACTATATATCTCAGCTCATGCCCAGAAGTTCCAGCCTACCCTTTCTGACAGCCTGCCCTGTGGATCTCCCACTCGCCTAACCAGCCCCAGGATGATGTGAGGCAGGAGCATCAGGCCTGGAGGCGGGGAACCTAAGGACTTCCTAGAACTAAATCAAATGGAAACACTTCAGCTATGACAGGAACTATACAGGTACTTGTCATTTACACAGAATGTGCACCCAAAAGTAACTTTGTAACTTCACTTTAGCCTCTTCATTTACATACGGCATACACCAGGTAACCAATGGAAACCTCTAGAGGGCATTTAAACCCTAAAATATTCTGTAACTGGCCCTTAAGCCCCTGTGCTCATGCCCCCTTCTACCCTGTGGAGTGTACTTTTGTTTTCAATAAATCTCTGCTTTCTTGTTGCTTCATTCTTTCTTTGGTTTGTTTGTGCGTTTTGTCCAATTCTTTGTTCAAGATGCCAAGAACCTGGACACTCCCAACCGGTAACATATGTAGGGCAATTCCTTGCAGTAGATCTCTTAATAGGACTCTCCTACTGGTTTGGTTTCTCTGATTGAACCCTGACTGATACATCCTGAATCAGTTTGAATGTGGAGCTGACCGGCTAAGCTAGTGTATTAGAAGTGGGACGTGAAAAAGGGGAGTCCAGGATGATTCCAAAGTTTTTGCCCCAAGCAGCCAGAAGGGTGGCTTAGGTGTCTCCTTAGGTAGGAATTACGCATGCAAAAGCCACCTACAAGAGCCTGTTCAAGGGATGGTGAAGGTAGATGCCCAGTTTCCCCCAAGGAAGCCCTTTCAGAGCGGGGATGTGTATAGGCAGGAATGGGTGGGAGTGCCTCGCCAGCCCTGATGCGGGCAAGCTCCAGTTTAAGGGGGTGAAATAGAGTATAAAGTCACTGCTGTGCTCCATGCCACTCACCCAGAAACACTGCGGTTTTCCATTGCATCCTGGAACCTCAGGAAATCTAGAGTAGATTTTTTACTGTTCTCTGCTGTGAACCCCACCTCCCCTGCTGCTGTGTGCTCTGGGAATCCGCTAGCCGAACACTGAGCCAAAACCAAACAAAGAGTGCTGAATAGAGACTTTCTGGATCAATGTTGCACTGTGGGCTTTTTTTCTTGTGAAGGAACAGGGTGTGCTTGAAAGTAAAAAGTGAGTTCTTTTGTTTTGTTGTTGTTATTATTGTTTAAATCTTCCTAGAAGGAAGAAAGAAAAAGAAAAAACAGCATTCGTCACTTGTAGTGCTCTGGTTAGCACAGTAGCTGGGCCCCGACCCCTCTCTCTGCAGGCCTCCCAAGTTGTCACTGAATAAAATGTGAGAAATGAAAGGAACTTTTCCATGAGCCTGGCAGTGCAGACAGACGCTGAGGTGGCACAGCGGTCTGATCCCAGCCCACATGCAGAAGCCTGCAGCTCCTCCTTCCAGCCCACATCCTCCAGAGCTTCTGGGACAGGCCGTGTCCCAAGAAGGATGTTACCAATGCAGATGTGTGAGAGGCTCGCCGATGAGCCAATCAACAGAGCAGACTTAATCTCAAGGGATCCAAGTGTTGTGCTTCTTTGGACTCATACAAATGGCGAAAGATTTAACATCAGGAAGTACTTCTTTAAGTCAGCTAATTTCTAGACCCTTCCTCCTTGTCACTCGATTCTAGATTGGCTCACCATTTAGACATCAGAACCAGATCTTTCTATCCAGAGAAGTACCAGTTGGTTGTTTTTCCTTCCAAAGCCAAGTCCTTGAGTTTCAGGGAGACTTCAGTTGAATTCTGCAAGGTCTTTGCTTTCTTTCCACCAGAATACACACTGCTGAGGTAACTGTAGAGAAGGTCCTTGGAGCCTCAGATCGGTAGAGGAAAGAAAGTGAAAAACTTTTGTCTCACGTCTTTTTGTCGCTGATCTCTACAGGAAAGCAAAAAGCTCTGAAGAGCCTGGCTTGGAATAAAAACATGCACCATACAAGATTCTCATAGAATTAAATAACTTGGGCCAAAATATTTTGGAAGCTGCCAAGGGCTCTGCAGATGAGCTATCCAGAGGCATTTGCTGAAAACTGCCTGGATTGACAAACACAGTGCAAACATAAGGAGCTGAACAGCCTCTGCAGTCCCCGGGGGGTGGCAGCCAGACAAGGCATGTACAATACTGGGGTGATGGGAAATCGGGTGTCCCAAGAGGAGACTTGCAGAGATTCTTGGCCCAGCAAAAAAGCTAAAGAGGGGGAGAAATGGCAAATAACAAAATCAAAAATAATAGTGATGTAAGATCTGCGAGGTTTCCCCTTTCTATTCACTAGGACTGTGGATATATAAGAGACACATTTAGGGTTAAGGTCTCATTGGAGGGCACACCCCAGAGGCCTGTGGAAACCCAGTCCAGAGGAGTCCTTGTCACCTGCATCTCAGAGCACGCATGGGGTGGCAGACAGGCAGACGTGTGGGATTTAGGGCTTATAGGGAATTTTGGTTTCTAGATATATTTCCAGACTTTCCATTGGCCAGACTTCTTCTCTGATAAACTGGTGGTATGCAGGCTAGCAAGAGGCCTGAATTGGCCATGTCTGTCTCACATTTCAGCTCTTCACAGGAGTGCTTGGCAAAGGAAAATGTGGGTGAACAGCATGATAGCAAATTGCCTTGGAAGCCTGCAGAAGGGAGTACTCCTAGGGAGGATGATAATAAAGCTGGTGTGTACTTATTAATTATTATGATGTGGGTTAGGCACTGTTCTAAGTATTTTATGTGTGTCAATCCATTCGATCCTCAGTATAATACTAAGAAGTAGGATGATTGTTTTTCCCTTTTAATGGATGAGGAAGCTGAGGCACAGTCAGTAATTTGCCCTAGGTCAGACAGGTAAAGGCAGATTTCTTTTTTTTTCTTTTTCTTTTTTGTTATGAGAGAGAGTTTTGCCTTTGTGACCCAGGCTGGGATGCAGTGGCACAATCTTGGCTTACTGCAACCACTGCCTCCCAGGTTCAAGTGATTCTCCTGCCTCAGCCTCCCGAGTAGCTAGCATTACAGGCATGTGGCACCACACTCGGCTAATTTTGTGTTTTTAGTAGAGACAGGATTTCTCCATGTTGGTGAGGCTGGTCTTGAACTCCCGACCCCAGGTGATCTGCCTGCCTTGGCCTCCCAAAGTGCTGGTGGGATTACAGGCGTGAGCCACTGTGCCTGGCCAGCCAGGTTTCAAACTCAGATGGCCTAGCTGCATTATCGTCCATTAAGTGGATAGCACATACTTTCCAATCAGAAAATGGAGCAGTAACAGCTAACAAGGGTGAGATGTATTTGTCTGGACCAAGGTGACCTGTAAAGATAGGATGTTACAGCTTAGAATGCTAAACTGCTTCTAGCCACTGCATCAGTAAGGATGCTTTTGGCTGCTAGTAACAGAATTATGAACCAAAAATAGTTAAACAATAAGAACATTTAGGATTTCACACAGCAATAAGCCTGGATGCAGTCCAACCTTTTAAGGTCAGGGATGTCATCAAGAATCCAGGTATTTTCCATCTCTTGACTTTGCATTCCTCAGTGTGTCTGCCATGTCACCCTCATGCTCACAAGGTGGCTGCAGCAGTTCCAGGCATCACATGTCAACAAGATTATATCCAGTAAAGAAGGGATTTCTCATAAGACACTCAGCAGGCTTTGCAGGTAAACTGGCCAAAATCAGATCTCATATCTATGTCCTAGCCTCAAGGGAGCTCAAAATGTGAATAGCTAGAATTCTTAATTCTATAGAAAGAACAAGCTATTCCAACAAGCAAAATGAAGGTAGGGTGAGAGGCGTTGGGCTACTGATTTGACCATTTACTTACTATATTTCTTTTTCCCTTTTATTTAAGTCTAAGGTGAAGATACACAAAGGATAGATCAAGGTCATGATTTAATGCAGATGGCTGAGTCATGACCAAAAAAAAAAAAAATCTGTAGTCAGCTCCAGCCATATATCTGACCTGAGGCTGGGCTTGAGGTCTACACAGCTGGAAACATCCATTTCTGATGCCAGCTACATCATTCCCTAATAAGAACAGTGCCAGCAGTGAACCCCTCAAGACTCCCCACACCCCAGCCCCACCTCGGCACCTCCAGTTGTGTCAACCTAGAGTCCCTGAGTTTGGTCTGGCTCTGCCCCTCTCCCTACCCATTTCAAAAGAATCTATTTCTGGCCAGGTGCGGTGGCTCATGCCTGTAATCCCAGCACTTTGGGAGGCCGAGGCGGGTGGATCACCTGAGCTCGGGAGTTCGAGATCAGCCTGATCAACATGGAGAAACCCCATCTCTACTAAAAATACCAAATTAGCCAAGCTGGTGGCATATGGCTGTAATCCCAGCTACTCGGGAGGCTGAGGCAGGAGAATTGCTTAAACTCGGGAGGTGGAGGTTGCAGTGAGCCCAGATCATATCATTGCACTCCAGCCTGGTAACAGAGCCCATCTCAAAAAAAAAAAAAAAGAATCTATTTCTGTTTCTCTCTCTTTCCTATGCTTCAATCTCATGTCCTCCTGCTGATTCTAAAAAGACAGCTGACCAGTGTGGGAAAGATTTAAATTGGGTTATTCTCTCTGAATAGAATTTTTGTAAAATACTATAAGTGAATTTCTTCATGGCCACCAGAGAGAAGTGCTACTATTTCCAGCACCAGGCTGATAGGAATGGTGCTTGTTAGGATTAAGTTCAGCTGTAATGGGGACATTAAATATAGCTTAAACCAGACTGGGCTGTATTTCTTGCTTATATAAAAGTCCTGGTGTTGTTACCAGAAATGCGTCCTGATCCAGACCCCAAGAGCCGGTTCTTGGATCTTGCACAATAAAGAATTCAGGGCGAGTCCACAGAGTAAAGTGAAAGCAAGTTTATTAGAAAAGTAAAGAAACAAAATAATGGCTACTCCATAGACGGAGCTGCCCCGAGGGCTGCTGGTTGGCTACTTTTATGGTTATTTCTTGATCATATGCTAAACAAGAGGTGAATTAATCATGAGTTTTCCAGGACAGAGGCAGACAATTCCCGGAACTGAGGGTTCGTCCCCTTTTTAGACTATATAGGATAACTTCTGGATGTTGCCATGGCATTTGTAAACCGTCATGGCACTAGTGGGAGTGCCTTTTAGCATGCTAACGCATTGTAATTAGCATATAATGAGCAGCGAGGACCACCAGATGTTGCCATCTTGGGTTTAGTGGGTTTTGGCAGGCTTCTTTACCGCATCCTGTTTTATCAGAAGGGTCTTCGTGACCTGTATCTTGTGACACCAGCCCTGCTGACCTCTTATCCTATCACTAAGAATGCCTAACCTAGGAATGTAGCCAGCAGGTTTCATCTTCATTTTACCCAGCCCCTATTCAAGATGGAGTCACTTTGGTTTGAACGCCTCTGATGGTGTAAGCAACTCATGCTAGTGAGAGGGCTCCACGGTCATCTGACCTCGGGCTGCTCTGGGCTTCTGCTTTGTGACTGTATCACAGTCCACGGAAGCCCTTCAGCCATGACATCTGCCTTCCAAACAGCAGGACGGGTGAAGGAGGGATGACAGGCCAAAAAGCATATACTTCCTATCATTTAAGGAAATTTCTTGGAAGCTATCACACAGTTTACCACTTACATTCTGTTTGCCAGAACACAGTCACATGGATACATCTTGCCACAAGGGCAGCTGGGAAATAACACTGCTTTAGTCAGGGTTCCCCCAGAGAAACAGAACCAATGGATGTGTATATATATAGAAAAAGATTTATAAGGAATCGGCTCACATTATTAAAGAAGCTGGCAAATCAAAATCTGAGGAGTGAACGGGCAGGCTGGAGACCCAGGAAAGCTGGGTTCAAGTTCTAGTCCTCTTTAGAACAAGAAAGTACTGAGGATGAAGTCTGAAGGCAGACTGCTGGAGAATTCTCTCTTCCTCAGGGGAGGAAGATAAAATATTCTATTTTATTCAGGCTTTTTGATCTATTCTTTTCTTTTTGGTCTATTCAGGTTTTCCACTGATTGGATGAGGTTCACCTACATAATGAAGGACAGTCTGCTTTACTTAAAGTCCCATCAATTTAAATGTTAATGTCATCCAAAAGTACTCTCACAGAAACACCCATAATAATGTTTAACCAAATATCTGGGTACACTGCAGCACCCAAGATGACACATAGAATTAACCATCACGGGCATCTTTATCTGAGGCAGCATGTGCTGTCTGCACTTTAGGTGAGAGGTTGGCAAACTACAGTCCATAGGACAAATCTGTTTTCGTAAATAAGGGTTTGGGGAACTCAGCCACACTCATTCATGTACATGTTGCCTATGGCTGCTTTTGTACTACCACGCCAAAGCTGAGTCTTCTAATGAGACCACATGGCCAGCAAAACCGAAATTATGTACTGTATTTGACTGTGTACAGGAAGGCCGTGCTGATCCCTGTTTTAGGCAGTTAGGTGCCCAGCTAAATACTGGGAGTACCAAGGGAGAAAGGAAATTGTGGTGGGCAGATAGCAATGTTGACCCACAGCAGCATACAGGATTTGCTGGTGAGATCTTCTAAGAAATCTCCCAGCCATTCAGCAGCAATTTTTTTGTGTAATCTATGAGTTATTGACGGAATTATAAAGAAGTACAAACCATTTCCCCCAATCTCAGGAATTTAGTGGATGAACTGTGGAAAGCAATGGTTTGTGGACCCAGAGAGGGCCGAGTTTAGGCTGAATTATTAACCATGTGACCAAACTTCTCAAAACTCCAGTTTTCTCATCTCTAAAATGAGCATGATCCTATTACCTCACCAGGTTGTTACATAAATTAAATAAGTCATTTATGTGGCGTGTTGCATATCATAAACCCTTTCTTCTTGTCTGATAGTGAAAACAACGATAACATAGTAAATAAGCTTTATCTGTGTGCCGTGCTCTGGGCAAGGGTTCTTCATGTGCTAACTCATTTAATCCTCACAACAGCCCTACGAGGTAGGAGCAATCACTATCTTCATTGTATGAATGAGAACACTGAGAGATGAGGTAACTTGGCAAAGAGTGCCTAGTTAGAGTGGAGCTGTGATTCAAACCCTGCTTGCCTGATTTCTGAACCCAAGAGCCTACCCACCAGGCTGTCCCGCAGCCTTCTTGCCATCATCTCCTTCCCACTCTGGCTGTTAAGACATTCATACTGTAACTGAGAAAGCAGAGCATATTCAAATAAAAAGCAAATGTATAACATAAGGCAGTGGGGATGAAGTGCCCAGTGAGCAGTATCACTCAGATACGGAGAGATTCCACTACCCTAGAGTGGTAAGGGGAAGTATCAGCAGGGATGGGGCCAAGTTGGGTCATGATGGAGCTACAGGATTTAGACGACTGGAGGACACGGTGGCAGGCAGGGGGAGTGGAGTGGGTAAGGCTTGGAGATGGGAAAGAAATGGCACAGTTAAGGAATAACAAGTAAACAAACCTGGCTAAATCACAGGATTCTTACTGGGAGTCCTGAGAGAGCAATCGGGAAATGGAATCAAATGAAGGAGCTTGAATGTCCTTCTAAAAAGCTTCACTGTATTTGGTAAACACTGAGCAGTCACTGGAAGGTTTTGAACAGTGAAATCACGTGATGGCAGCAGTGTCTTTAGGAATAACGTGGTGGTTTCAGGAGGGATGACTGAGGCACGGGGGCTGGGAGATTTTTGAAAGGCTTTTGAGAGGCCTTTGAAATGATCTAGGCATGAGGTAATGAGAACTTGGAGTGTTAGCACAGGCGTGGATGGAATGGCAGAAAGGTAGGAGACATCACGTGAGCAGACATCACGGGGCACTTGGTAACTCCATCTGGGAGCGAGGAAAGGGAGGGGCAGGATGACTGCCAGGCTTTCAGCCTTGGTGGTGGGAGAATTTTGTTCTAAAGAGAAGCAGAAGGGCAGAGGGGAGCTCCATCTGCCACCCCACCTCCGCAAGTTCCCTGTCTCCACCGAGCATCTCTTACTCAGCCATCACCAGACACCTGCGAGCAGCCAGCCACCTCCTCTTTCTTCTTTGCAGCAAGGTGCCACTTCTACCAAAGAAGAACCTAGGGCAGAGAAGAAGCATGAGATAGGAATTTCCATCTGTTCTGTCTATCGCTGGCACTGTCGTCTTGAGCATATCTCAACTTCCCTGAGATGTAGTCTTTAAAACAGGGATGACAATATCTACTTGATAGAGTACTTGGGAGTTACATAACAAACACAAAGCCTTTAGTGCTGTGTCTGACATGGAATAGATGCCCAGTCATAATGGCTAACACAGCTGAGCTTGAAACAGGCACTGCTCTAACTGCTTTACATGATTCACTTGTCTACTCCCCTCAACAATCCTGCAAGGTGGACACCACTCTTAATTCAACTCACAAAGAAAGGAGGTATACAGAAGACAGAACTCACCAACATCACGGGGTCTAGGTGAGGATGAACCAGGCTGCATCTAAGCAGCGCGGCTTCGGGGTCTGTATTCTTTGCCACTACCCACAACTTGTATGTATGTGTGTATATATATATATATACATATATATATATATATATATATATTTTTTTTTTGAGACGGAGTTTCCCTCTTTTTGCCCAGGCTGGAGCGCAATGGCACAATCTCGGCTCACCGCAACCTCCGCCTCCTGGGTTCAAGCAATTCTCCTGCCTCAGCACCCCGAGTAGCTGGGATTACAGGCGTGCACTACCACACCTGGCTATTTTTGTATTTTTTCATAGAGATGGAGTTTCTCCATGTTGGTCAGACTGGTCTCGAACTACCAGCCTCAGGTGATCCACCCGTCTCAGCCTCCCATAGTGCTGGGATTACAAGCATGAGCCACCATGCCTAGCTCCCAAAACGTATATTAATAAGCAAAACTATTGTTTGCAATAACATGAGGCAAAAATAGCAAAAAGTTCCTTCTAAGGAGGAGTATTAATATACTTACCAACCAGAACGGCTAAAGCACTGGTCTGCGACAGCAGCTGCTGGCCATAGCTTGGAGCTGGTCCTTTAGGTCCTCTTTGGTACTGGATCCTGGGAGGATGGACAAGGAAGTGGTCTCAGGCAAGGGGTGAGTTAAGTGGCTGTGGAAGGTACTTAGGAGGCTCAGGGAAGCAGCGTTTTTCCCCCTAAACTTTTATTTTAAGTTCTGGGGTACAAGTGCAGGATGGACAGGTTTGTTACATAGGTAAACATGTGCCATGGTGGTTTGCTGCACAGAACAAACCAACACTTATGTATTATTGGGCCCAGCATCCGTTAGTTATTCTTCCTGATGCTCTCTCTCTCCCCAGCTCCCACCCCCCACCCCAGAGGACCCAGTGTATGTTGTTCCTCTTTCTCTGTTCTCATTGTTCAGCTCCTGCCTTATAAGTGATGTGGTGTTTGGTTTTCTGATCCTACATTTGTTTGCTGACGATAACAGCTTCCAGCTCCAACCATGTCCTTGCAAAGGACATGATCTCATTCTTTGTTATACATTGTATCCATGGTGTATATGTACCACATTTTCTTTATCTAGTCTATTGTTGATGTGCATTGCGTTGATTCCATGCCTTTGCTGTTGCAAATAGTGCTGCAATGAACAAACACGTGCATGTATCTAGTAGAATGATTTATATTCCTTTAGGTATATACCCAGTAATAAGATTGCTGGGTCAAATGGTATTTCTACTTCTAGATCTTTGAGAAATTGCCACACTGTCTTTCTTTTTTTTTTTTCCAGTCAACCAAAGGGACATTTTATTGAGGTTCCAGGGTCATGGGGCCTGGGCAGGAGGCTGCCCTTCCAGGAAGGAAGAGGCTTATTTGACCTTCTTCTTGGGGCGCAGGTTGTTGGTGTGGCCATACTTCTTCTGCGGCAGTTGACAGCATGGGGGTGCAGGCGAGCATAGCACTTGCGGCAGATCATCTTGTCGCAGTTGTATTTCTGGGCAAGCTGGCGAAGGGAAGGCTCAATAATGCCACCTCGCAGGCGCAGCACCAGGTGCAGGGTGGACTCTTTCTGGATGTTGTAGTCTGAGAGCGTGCGGCCATCCTCCAGCTATTTACCGGCAAATATCAGACGCTGCTGATCAGGTGGGATACCCTCCTTGTCTTGAATTTTGGCTTTAACATTCTCAATGGTGTCACTGGGCTCGACCTCAAGGGTGATGGTCTTGCCCATGAGGGTCTTCACAAAGATCTGCATCTCTGCGTCTGCAACTCGGCCACCTCGCTCCACACTGTCTTTCATAATAGTTAAACTAATTTACCTTCCCACCAACGTGTAAAAGCGCTCCTTTTTCTCCAAATCCTTGCCAACATCTGTTGTTTCTTGACTTTTTAGTAATTGCCATTCTGACTGCTGTGAGATGGTATCTCATTTTGGTTTTGATTTGCATTTCTCTAATGATCAGTGATGTTGAGCTTTTTTTTCATGTTTGTTGACCACATGAATGTTTTCTTTTGAGAAGTGTCTGTTCATGTCCTTTAGGGCAGCAGCTTCAAACAACTCATACAGAAAGTTCAATATCTTAACATCCAGTGTGGCAGGATGGGTGTGCCCCAGCTGAATACCAGAACTGGTTGTCATTTTTCAGTGTTCTCTGATCAACCTGTGGACAAAACAAACTAATTTTTAAGGACATTCTCAGAGTTGAATATTATATTGATTTTAAAAATATGTTTTATTATGAACACCATGCTTATTTTTTTAAAAAGACCTCAGGCAGCTTGTAGTTTAAAAAAAAAAAAAACCCTTAGAAATAAAGTCATTAAGATATGGGTCATAATAAAAGTGTATGTAAAATTGTTGCTATCGACTAAATACTTCTGTCCCGCAAAATCCATAGGTTGCAGTTCTAATCCCCCAAAGTGACAGAAGTGGGAGATGGGGCATTTGGGAGGTGAGTCAGTCACAAGGTTGGAGTGCTATGAATAGGATTAATGTTTTTATAAAAGAGACCCAGGCCGGGTGCGGCGACTCACGCCTGTAATCCCAGCACTTTGGGAGGCCGAGGCAGGTGGATCACAGGTCAGGAGTTCAAGACCAGCCTGGCCAAGATGGTGAAACCCCATCTGTACTAAAAAAAAAAAGTATAAAAAAATAAATTAGCCAGGCGTGGTGGTGGGCATCTGTAATCCTAGCTACTCGGGAGGCTGGGGAAGAGAATTGCTTGAACCTAGGAGGTGGAGGTTGCAATGAGCCAAGATCTTGCCACTGCACTCCAGCCTGGTCAACAGAGCAAGACTCTGTCTCAAAAAAAAAAAGAGAGGTCCAGAGAGCTCTCCAGCCCTCATTCTGCCATATGAAGACACAATAAGAAGACAGCTCTCTAGGAGCAAGGAAATGGCCCTCATCACACACTAAATATTCTAATTCTTTGATCTTACACTTTCCAGCTTCCAGAACTGAAAGACATAAATGTTTATTGCTTATGCCACTCAGTTGATGGTATTCTGTCATTGCAGCCTGAACTTGAAGTTCAGGTTTTATTCTTGAAAACAAACTAAGAATGCGTCGTGAAACTGAGCACTAAATTTGACTCTGAGATTCCTAGTGGCCAAGATGAAATGAGAAATAGGATGAGTTTCTTAGTTTTGACTATGCAAATAAACCTAAATGCTTCAATCTTTATGCCTAGGATTTAGGGGTGCAGGACCAAGATGGAATTTTGATGTGAAAAAGAAAAACTTCAACTTATTATATTCTTTCTCAAAAGCAGGTCCACTCTGTCTCCTACTCTGCATGAGAATCCTATCACCAAAGCAAAACACACCTCACCAGCTATGCCTCTGCTGAGCCAAAGGCCAATCCCAGCTTTAAAGTAAATGAGTAGGCTGGGCACGGTGGCTCATGCCTATAATCCCAGCACTTTGAGAGGCCGAAGCAGGCGGATCACTTGAGGTCGGGAGTTTGAGACCAGCCTGGCCAACATGGTAAAACCCCGTCTCTACTAAAAATATAAAAATTAACCAGGTGTGGTGGCGAGTGCCTGTAATTCCAGCTACCTGGGAGGCTGAGGCAGGAGAATTGCTTGAACTTGGGAGGCGGAGGTTGCAGTGAGATGAGACTGCACCACTGCATTCCAGCCTGGGTGACAGAGTAAGACTCCATCTTAAACAAATAAAAATAAAAGATAAAAATTTTTTTAAAAAGTAAACGAGTAAAGAAAATATTAGGGAAAGAGAAGCTTGGTATCAGGAGAGGAGAATGTGATTCTGGGGAGGAATTTTGCTTCAGTGACCTGCCTAAGTGTAAAATGCTGGTCTGGATGGGCACCTTAAATAAGATAATTTCCATCCCAATGAATTTCCCTCACTCACGTATAGGACCAGCCAATTATATGCAGTCTTATTTCACCAGAGTGAAAAAAATGAGAACTTTGCAAACACTGAAAGGTGATCTGGTGCCTCCCAGCATATCTGGGGAGGCAGCCACATTCATGCCTACGATTCTTTCTTGCAGTGTCTTCCTAGAGTTAAGGAAAGTCCTTAAAGTTTGCTATTAATGCCTACTGGTTTAAGACTAGAGCAAAGGATCTCAGAGAGCTTGTTTCTATTAGATCCTATGATGGAGAGGATTACAGTTTAGGACCAAAAGGAATACCTTCTACATCTTTTTCATTATTGTTCGTGTGACCCAAATTTCCCAGATCTCACCACCCTGTAGTACAAAAGAGATTGCCCTGGAGTCCCATCTGCTGACTCAGGGTTTCATGTCCCAAAAGTCCGCCTTAAGATTTCTGAGATCTCCAGGGAGCTTTGCAAGCACTAATAACATGCCTGCTCCCAGTGGGTATCTGCTGGCCACGTGTGCTTGGTGTCTGCTAACCCCTGCCTGTGTGCTGCGCCTCCAAGGGCAGCAGAGAAAGGGGAAAAGTGGGCCTTTGGCTTTCTGGAATAGGAGAAAGGGATGAGGCTGTGACAGCCTGTCCCTGGGTTTACACACGACAAACTCTTACTTCATAAAATGGCAACCACCTGGATCTGCTTCTGATTTGTTCTGCACCTTGCGCAGGTCACCTTGGTGCTTTCTACTTCAATTTTCTTTACTGAAAATGGCAAGAATTC